TATTGCGTAATAGTATTGTCGAAAATAAACAATCTCTCTTTCTCTTCGTATTACTTGTAAAAAGGTGAACTCTATCAGTCAACTGTGGTTATAGCTACGCGAAAAGATTGCACAATAACTTCGTCGAAGGAGTGCGAAATAACTCGCGATATGTAAATAATATAAATATGCGGAGGCACGTATGTCGTGTTGCTAAAAATGCACACGGATTAATCCCAGCGGTAACAACCGCGAACACGCGCCGATTGATAACAACCGTATCAGTAATCGGAACGAGAGCGAGAGTTAACACAGTGCCAGTGACGGCTAATTCGCCAATTGCTTAATTAATTGAATCAGTCACGATTATTTTTTTTTTTTATAATTAAGGCGATCCCGATTAATTTATCGATTCGGTGTTAATCGATTAAGCACCGATAGCTTACGTGGCAAAAATGCTTTAATTGCAATGCATCTGTTCTGCACAGTCAGCCGATATTGATGTCATATTTGTGTCGTCACAGCGTTTTACACGTGTTTCGTTAGCTTTTAACGCAAAACAATATGCGTTCGTTACGCAACAATTCGTTTTCGCGACACGGTTTATTATCGTCAAATGCTGTCATTCTTGTGAATAAGAAAGATGCCGCACTTTCCTTCGCACGAACGTATCCTTCCGTTTCCCCTTATACGTTCTATTGTCCCGCTAGGTATTAATGATGTGACGACGCTTTGTTGCGTAATCCATATGTATTTTGTTGCGACACACCTATGACACCTGCTCGTTGTCACATTTGGCGCTAATCTGAAATGTAAACATTCTTATCGCACAGGAAAGGCACGGAGAACTCGTGTCTTCTCGTTCTCGTGTTGAGTGACTTCATTCTCGACAGTTCATTGAAAATAAATTATCGTATCTGTTTTTTTATCGCGCAATTGTAAGAAACGTTTGTATCGTGAACGCCTTAGCGTGTTATCGGCAAATTCACAAGACCCTTCTTGGAGTTAATTCCGATTTTCCGTACTTTTTTTATATAAATATTATTAAATTCTTGATGTGACAATATAACGTTTTATAATTACCGGAAAATGACGCCATTGATATCATAAAAAATATTTTATAATAGATTCCTTGTATGTGTGTGTGACGCGCTTCAAATTAATACGAAATATTGATAATATACTTAATGTTAAGAATGGAGTTAAAACACTTCTCTCTTCTCTTCTTTTTTGAAATATTTATCGAAGAAAAACGCAACTCGAGATTTGTCAAAGCGTTCGTCGCGAAAGTGTTTTACGACATCAGCGAGGCATTACGTATATAAGCGATAAAACGCAATATGACACGCGTCAAAATAACATATCTCGATAAAATACCATTGACAAAAATTCAGCGGAACAAATCGAACTAGTCGAGCATCATTCTTTGCGACAATTTGATAACAACGATTTCGACATATCGCCTCGCGATAATTCAATTAAGAACGATCGAAACTAATTCCAGCACGCCATACGCACATTTCCCTCCTCCTTTAATTATCCAATTAACGTGCTCGCCTCGATTCATCGCGTTCACCGCGAATGAGACTATCGAAAAAATCGAGAGCCAGGGAATTCGCCAGAATTTTTCCCAACGGTGAGCGAGGAACAGAGCGAACGAGATGCAGATGGGACGATGAAATTAGCGCGGCGCAATTCTAATGAATCGCGAAAAAAGATCGAGGTCGGATGCGCGCGCGAAACATTCCCGGGCCGCAGATTTACATTGTACGCACGGCGCGTACTCTGTTTCCTTTCACTGTTTTTCTTTTCGGTCTCGCCGTGAAACTGTAAATGTGTAAGTTGTTGCTCGCATTATTTCCAACATTCCTGACACGTGTACGTTCCGCGGTCTCAAAGATCGGTCGGCGTTAAGGTGCGCCGCGTATCACGTCTCGCACGATGAACGAGCCTCGTAAATCGCGACGTTAATCACGGCCGCACGAAATTGTTTACACGGCGTTTCTAATGGACGTTTAACGACTCTATTTCATGATTACATTTGGCGAATGATTAATTCTTCACCGTGAGTGAAAGCGAAAAATTTAGCATTTGCATTTGATATAAATAAAGATACACGAAATATTGAACAAAGACATTTTTTTCTTCTTAGAGACTATTGATAGAAATCGCAAGTTTCAGTTGCATTATCTGTAATTTTGTATCGATGTTCTTTTATTTTTTTCCGCTTGAAGTTTATTTTATTTGCTTTGAGAGAGGAAAATGTGTGTGAATAACGGTTGATGAATAATTTACGACTTTAATTAATAGATTGTTAAGGTTTTATCAGAGCGATACAGTTTTATTATTCACTTACGACAGAGAGAGTAGCAATTTATTTTCGATGCGCGCTTCCGCGCGATAAAACAATTTAATCGGACGCATTCGCGTTTCTATGCACAGCCTTAATGAGCATGTTCCTGCTTGCAATGATGCAGTCGTCGCGTCGTCGGTCGACCTCCACACGCGAATAGTACACGGCTTAAGCTTGCCGCTGCAAAATGCATTAGCTTACAGCTGGCTCACGTACGTTCATATAAAACATCGCATTATTCGCGAGTTATGCCCCGTATGCACGTTGATGCACTTCTCTTTTTTCGCTCTTCCCCCTCTTTGTGCAGCCTCTCAAAGTCCTCGGGCAGCCCTTAGCGCACACATATGCGCGTCGTCGCCCTTTGCGTTTCTTCCTTTTTCTTTTTTTTTTTCCGCCAGGTTAGTAACGCGCGACGAATGTAAATGTATCTTCGATCCATCCAAATCCGATGAAATATATTAGACACACGATCCTTCTAAATAAAAAATAGTCGCCGCGCGCGCAAAATTGGCGGCAAAAGACGTTGGCGATCGGAGACTGTAATAAACATCTCTTAGGAATCCGATGATATATATTAAGCCGAAAAATATTTTTGCCTTTGTGAATCCCGCTTACCATCTGCGCGGAGTTGCAAAAGTCCGCGCAAATCACTGTCGTTTCATCGCGCGGTGCTTTGCAACGTTTATGAGCGGCGTATATCAGCGGTTTTCAACGCATTGCGTTTGCAACTCGAAATTGTTACTTATAGAAGGATTAGTTGTAGTACTTACAGTGTTAGCACCAGTCTCGAGAAGTTTTTTTTTTTTTTTTTTTCTTTATTCGCACTGCAACCAGATGATTTTGAATGGGACGGAGAATCTCGGTAACTAGAATTTAGTAAAATGCGATGCTGCAATTGTGATTTTTGATTACAATTGACAAGGAAGTGAGTATAGTGATTGCGCGAAATCGGCACGTGAATCTTCCACGTACAAAGTATTCTTTCGTCGAGTTAAAATTTATGAAACGTTTATGAAATTGAAGATCATACGCGACAAACTCGCATTCACCTCGCTTTCCATTATCGAAAGGCGCAAAAAATTTCGCATTTATACACCACATTTGTCTTTCTAAATGTCTTAGCCCGCAAATTTTTCAAACATGATTTATAATTAAAATAAATATATGAATTGATATATTTATAATGTATATTAATTAATACAAAACACAAGATAATTACAATAAGCATATTTATACGAAATACATATTATTAAATAGTGTCTAAAAGTTAATATTGCTGTATTATTAAATATTATAAATTGTAATATTATAATATTATTAATATTGTAATTAGCAATCTCTCGCTTGATAATAACTAGTTAATTATTAGTAAATAATTACCAGTAAATAACTTTATGATAATCATAATATTCATAAAGTTATTTATACTTTTACTTTTTAAGAAAAAACAAATTACATGTGATAATAATATTACAAAAATAATTACGTAAGAAATTAAAAATAAGTCACCATATTGTTATCACTTATTTTTTTATTTATTAGGAATATACATATTATTTTTAATTTATTAAAGTTACATAAATTTGCCGCTTTCAAAATTTACAAATGAAAAAGGATCTAAATAAAGTAAGTTACGTTTAATTAATTAAATAATTTATTAACTATTTTGTTTATAATTAAACAGACATATAGTTTCTAATTAATATTATAATATAAGTAATTAATTTTGAGTAGAATGACACTAACAAAATTTTTATTTAAAGAAAGTGTTGAATAATAGCACATATATTATAATTGCATATACATATGTTATAATCTATTATTATTTATTAATTTGTTAAAATCAGTTTTTGCTATAGTATATGTAATATCTACACATAATAAACCAAATACTAAAATTAGTTGAGCAGTAAACATCTGTATCGCATAGACAATCTCGACAAATAATAACAGAGGACATACAATCTAAATCTAAATCCAAATTTAAACGCAATTACAAGAAGCTTGAAAGCGAATTATGCGTTAATATTGACACAATTACGAAAGCCTGAAAGTGAACTATTCATTATAATATTGTTGCACAACTTTGCTGGCTTATGAAACATATTCGAGAGAGAGATTACTTCTAACAAAACTATTGTAATTACGGCATTTTTATAAAAAAAATGTTTGATTACAATTAATTCTACAGAAAGATGATTATCAAGTTTATAAAAAATAATAATTTTAAAGTAAAGTAAAGTAAAACCTAACCATAAATCTTTGAAGCTTTAGGAAGAGAAACGCGTGCAAACATAATCTTTAATTACATTATTATTTCGTAATCATTATTATTATTATACATACATTATTATTTAGAAACAATCATCAACTTTCTAAAAAATTTCAATATTATCAAAATCATTTTACTTTAAATATAATGTGTGTATAAAAACATTTATGATGCGTTTGAAAATATATAATTTTTCTCAATTTTAACTTTAGAATCTTTATTGTAAATTATTTATAAACACTTTTTTGTATATTATATATATGTGTATATTAAATTAATATTTTCTTAAAAAATATATGTAACAGCATAAAATAAATCAGTTTTTTCTTAATGTAATAATTTTTTAAATTTATAATTGTGTTAATACATGAATTTCTTAAAAATTGATTCTGAATTAAAATTATTTATGTTTGCAACAGTTTCTCTTTTTGTCGTTACATAATATATTTATTAAAAATTAATCATGCTTTACAACACACGCATTGTCTAGAAAATTTGAAATTGATATTCGAACTTCATATCGTACTTAAGAGACTTTATCAATATCACAGTTATGTGAATTGCGGCAATGCGTAAAACATCAAAGTGCAGTTTCCATTTCGTCGTCTGATAACTGCAAAATTAAAGATATTAATATTATTAATATGATATATGATATATTAATATGATATATTATTAATATGATTATTAATATGATAATAACTTCTATGTGTAAAAGGGAACAAATTTAGAAATATATTTTACTTAGCGTAAAGATGAAAAAAATTATATAATCATGGGTCCAAAAATGCTTCTTTTCCAAATTATAAGTATTTTTATGATAGAGTTTGACAAAAATATTCCGTTAGCAAATTTGCTGGATATGACTTCTTTCCGTTCTTATCCATATTTACATCTATCGATTTTAAATCTCTAGATTTTTATTTACGAGAATATCTCAGGACTTTTACTCTAATGCTTTTATTGCTATTTTAAAATTTAAAATACTGTGGGAATTGTTAGATATTTTCGATGATATCGTCGATAAGACACTGACGAAACGAACGTTTGTTAAAAAAAAATATGTTTATCACCTTCTTTTAACGAAATGTTTTTGCCAAATTCTGCGAATAAAACGTGTTTATAATTTAAAAATAAAACATTTATGGATTCACATTTATATGAATTTTGTTTATCTGTACGATAAGTAAAGAATATATTTTTAATTTTGGCTATTTATTTTTGAAACATTTTGTATGTTTATATCGGCGTTTGCGTTTGTATGTGTTTGTATACTTACATTATTTTTGTATCTAAAAAAATTATAACGATTTGAGGTAGACTCTGCATTTAATAATACATTATAGATATTTTACTTACGTGTTCACCCGATCCGAACACTATTCTAATTTCGTTTCGATAATGGACTGGCACATTGCGTCTATCGACAGCTGGATCGGCATCGCGAGTGGAATTGAGAAGTTTTCTATAACAACCAAAACTCGTAAACAATTTAGAAGGAACGTTTTTAATAATAAAAATGCTTATAAAAAATTAATTAAAACTTTCAACATAGCGATTAGTAATTATTATTGGTTATAATAAAATGAATATAAAAATCGCCATATTATATTTATTTTAAATCTTTCTCAGAAATTTTATAATAAAACAGCATTACGTTTGAAAAAATCAGATATTGATGTTAATATCATATAATAGTTCTATTGATTTTAAAATCACCGAAAAAGAGGATTTGTTTTTATTAACATTATGAATTCAAATTTAAATAAATAATTTCTATATTGCATTAATAAATGCATATATGCATATATGTGTTGTATGTGTGTTTGTATACACAAACATACATACATATTACACGGTCGCACATATATATGTATGCAGGCAGAGATGCACGAATCTAATAATTCATTTATTATGACTTGGATAATTTTGTATTAAAAATGACAATTTTATTTTAATTAATATTAAAAACATCTAATATAATCTGTATAATATAAAGTTTACCCGAAAAAACAACAGTACATTAACGCTAATATTATTGGTACTACTGCAAGCAGCGCAATTTTAAAGTCAATGTTCATTTCGGAAGTATTCAAATCTTCAAAGTTTTTTGTGGGTGATATTGTTTCTTTTATTTCATCAGCCAAGTTATATATCCATTTTTTGGTGCGTTTGTTTTTTTTTTCATTTATTGCAGTATGTTTATCATTGGTCGGTCCTAATATCATATAAACTAAAAAATAATTTTTTTTTAAATATGTGTTTTAATTCGTAAACTGATAACTGCGTTTATCAGTTTATCAACTTTACTTTTTTTTCTTGCAAAAGAACATAATAATTTTAATAATAAAATATAATAATACTTAATAATAATCTTATAATAATAAAACAAAAGTTTATTATTAAATTAATTATTTATTGACAGTAAAAGTTTACACAATTAAATATATATACATTATTAGTAAATCAGATGTACCTAAGTATGTAATAAGCATGTATTATGTATTACTTCTTTTTTAAATTAAGAATGTATATATATTTTTTTTCTTTTTTGGTATTTACTTTTGATAAATATATAGAAAAAGAAAAGTAAAAAATATGCACACAGTCATTAAGTTCCATTATTTATGTTTGCTTTTGATTATAAAGTATAAACATAAACTAAATAAATATAATTATATTATTATATGATTGTATGATCTTACCTGGTATGCATAAGATAAAAACAAAAATAGCTATACATAAATATGCCGAATGGAATATTCGCTTTATAGTTTGCATCATTATAGTAAAACACATCGTGGATACTTGTTTAGCACTTCTCTGCTTAATTTTAATAAGATTCGACAGATTGCGATTTTCTTTATCCAATCTTTTCCTCCTATACGGCTTCTATTATTAATAACACGTTGTATTGATTGTCCGTAAAGAAAAACATTTATGGAATATATCAGAATCTTGTTATGCTTGCCCAATAACACAGATATTGTAAGCAAAACAGAAAAGGTAAATTTTATAACGAGTTATTATCAAATTGACAAAGACTTATGGTAAAATGAGAAAAATAATAAAAATTAGTAAGAATGATAAAAAAACTCTTATATATATATATATACAAAATAAATTTTTAGTACAAGGCGGGTTTAAAAAGTATTTACAAATGGAATTAGAATATTTGCGAAATAACAAAATAAACTTTCTGTCTAAATTAATATGAAATTATCCGAAAAACAAAATATTTATATTTGCTATTGATACTTTGTAAAGTCATAGTGACTATAAAAGTTCTATAAGGTCATAGCATAAAACTATCAATATTTCTCTATTGCTCTTGATAAAGCCGGTATTTTTCTTTTGAATTTCTTGTTAATAAAAGACTAAAGCCAAGTATAATTTTACAACCAAACATCATAATAAGCACTTTTAATTAATTTGACACAATTTAAGACAATCTGCATCTCGTATAGATAATTGATTTTATTTTCGAGCGTCTCTGTGTCAGCCACCCTTCAAAATTTCAAGCACGAATTTGACGATACAAAAAAGCACAATGATCACATACTGGTGATTTTATTCTATCAGAACTTAGGAAATATCTTAAACTAATTGCATATACGAAACACCGAAGAAAGGCTTGGCGCTTACGGCAAGATACTAAAATGATAATACTTGGTTTTATGATATTAATTTCTCAACTTTACCAAATTGTGATCTAAGTCGTTGTCTCGCTGTTCGCTATATGTACATGTCATCGCGCGACAATGATAAACATACGACTATTGAAGAATATAAACGATATCCTTGTAGAGTGTTAAAGGGTCCATTTGCCTGACTCTTATTGGCTGTCAATGTCGCACTAAATTATTTATTTTTAAACGCTCATAAGTCACATTATACTTTTTTTTGTGGAAATCTCGGAATCATATTGAAATTTTCTTTTTTCCGCCACTTGTAGATTTTTTAACGTACACTTTTGTTCGGCTGCACTTTAATCGCGAGTATCTTACATCGACATTTAAAATTAAAAAAAATTAAAAAAGTTAAAACATTGATTTCTTGTATCTATTTGTATTACGTAATCCTTCAAAACTTATATTTTTAAAAAATAGAACAAAATGGCGCCATGAATACGCACCAATTATGAGAAATGTTGTATATACTACTATAAAGAACTATCCTACAAAAATAATAATATCAGAAAATTATGTCAACTGAAAATAAAAATATGTATATGTATATGGTTATTGGAATGTATATAATTGTTTCCATTTCAAACGATTTTTTTGTAATAAATATTATATTGCAATATATTAGATATGTTTTTTCTCTTAATATTGGATATAAAAGAAGAAATACATGTATAAATTTTATAGCATCAAATTTTATTCAGTTGGCCCCTCTTTTTCATATTCTTATTTTTATAGGAAATTAAAACAATACTTTACATTATACATATTTTGTATACAACTTTTTATTATTAATATGTTTTTATAGATTTTTATTTTCAATTGGCACAATTTTTTGATATCCTTATTTTTGTAATAGTTTGTGCATTAAAATTATGATTATAGTTTAAAATCTATTCTGTAAAAATTTAATCAATCACAATATATAAATATTAATAACATAATTAATATATAGAATTAAGTAATATAATTAACTAGTATAAGATTAATTAATATATATGACTCTTATTCTTTTCAGTTTTTTTCAGGAAAATACCAAACTGCTATTTATAAATGTAGTTACTAAAATATGCTATTGCTATGGTTCTATCACATTGTGCGTAAATGATTACTTTTACAGCTATTCTCTCTTTATAGTTTTTATTATATCTTTAGTAAATTTGTGGTTAGAAGTATAGTCAAACAAGCTATTAATGTGGTTATTAAAATGTATACTTTTAATTATTTTTTTTTACTTATTTTTTAGTTATTATTATCAGTAAATGGTAAAGCTGATGTCAAGAGTTACATTTATCATAATTGTGATTGTGATTATTACATAAAAATGTTTATTTAATTTACCATCTGATGTTACGTGATATTTTACTACATTAATATTTCAAATTATTATAATTTATAGTAAAATTTTTATATAATTGTCAGACTATGCATACAAGGTTATTTTTACTAATATAATATAATAACAATAAAAACTATAAAAATAATAACTATAATAGCAATAATAACTATGAAAATAAGAATCCCAATTATAATTATTTTATTATGCAATTATAGTTGCAAATACCAGACATTTTTCTCTCAGCGTACAATTTCCGATCTCGCATTGAGTAATTGCTAAGTGACCAATTCAGATATGGTTCCTATAAGAAATCGGTTTCTGTTTTACGTTTTACAATAGAAAATAATTATAAGTACTCATGCATCGATATTTGATTTCTCTACCAATTTTGACAATTAATCAATCTTTCCTTGAGGCAAAAGTTCGGAAAATTTGATGCGCTTTTTTCTTGGGAAATTTATTTTGAATGAATATACGAATTGATATATTTATAATGTATATTGAGATTAATACAAAACATAAGATATTTACAATACGCATATTTATATATACGAACCAATATTATTAAATAGTGTCAATATTGTCAAATATAATGGGCAATGAAAAAACATAAAATATTTTAATTATCTGTAGTAAATAAAAACAATCAAACATTTTCGTATTAAGTATCGAATCTACAATTGTTTTTAAATTAAAAGATTTGTTGTTTGTTAGTTATTTATTTATAATATTATATAATATTATGTAAATAATAATATTATATGTAATATTATAAATTATGTTATATATGGCAATCTCTCGCTTGATAATAACTAGTTAATTATGAATAAATAATTTTACTCTTTGAAGTTATTTCGTAAATAACTTTGATAATTATAACAATCATAAATAATTATTTATATTTTTACTTTTTAAGAAAAACAAAATTGCGTGTGACACCAATATTATAAAAGTAATTAATTTTAAGTGGAATGACATTAACATAAACTTTAAATTTTTATCGAAAAAAATATTGAATAATTCACATGTTATAATCATATGTTATAATTTATTATTACTTATGAATTTGTTAAAATCGGTTTTTGCCATAATATATGAAATATTTGCATATATTAAACCAAAAACTAAAATTAGTTGAGAAGTAAATATCAGTATCGCTATTGCCTAGAGATCTCGACAAATAATAACAGAAAACATACAATCTAAATCTAAATCTAAGTTCAAGCTAAGTTTAGTAATTAAGAAACTTGAAAGCAAATTATGCGTTAATATTGGCATAATTACAAAAAATTTGAAAGTGTGCATTATAATATTTGATGATCTTGCTGGCTTATGAAACAAATTCGAGAGATATTACTTCTAACTAAACTATTGTAATTACGGCATTTTTATAAAAAAATGTTTGATTATAAATAATTCTACTAAAAGACGATTATAAAGTTTATAAGAAATAATATGTTTAAAGTATTATACTAAAAATATTGTACCAAATGTTTGAAGCTTTAGGAAGAAAAACGTGTGCAAACATAATCTCCAATTACATTATTATTTTATAATTTATTAACAATCAACTTTTTCAAAAATTTTAATATTATCAAAATCATTTTAATAGTAAATAAGTAATTTTACTTTAAATATAGTGTATGTAGAAATATTTACTAATTTAATTATACGTTTGAAAATATATAATTTTGCTCAATTTAAACTTTAGAATATCTATTGTAAATCATTTATAAACACTTTTTTATATATTATATATATATGTGTATATTAAATTTTCTTAAAAAATATATGTAACCGTATAAAATAAATCAGTTTTTTCTTAATGTTATAATGTTTTTTTAATTTATAATTGTGTTAATACTTAAATTTCTGAAAAATTAATTTTGGATTGGAATTATTTATGTTTGCAATAGTTTTTCTTTTTGTCGTTACCCATATAATATTATTTATTAAAAATTAATCATGTATAACAATATACGCGTTGTCTAGACAATTTGAAGTTGAGAATCGAGCTTTATATTGTACTTGAAAGACCTTACCAATTTCACTGTTATGTGAATTGCGGCAATGCGTCAAACATCAATGTTAATTTTCCGAATTATTTTCATCTGATAACTGCAAAATTAAAGATATTATTAATATTATTAATATAATAATAACTTGTATGTATACACACGTATACCATCATTTACGATAGAAAAGGAACAAATTTGGAAACATATTTTACTTACTGTAAAGATGAAAAAAATCATATGTTTATATGGGTCCAGAAATGCTTTTTTTCTAAATTATAAATATTTTAATGATACAGTTTGACAAGAATATTTCGTTAGAAAATTTGATGGATATGACTTCCTTCCGTTCTTATCCACATTTACATCTATCGGTATTAAATCTCTAGGTTTTTATTTACAAGGTTATCTTAAGACTTTCGAGTTAATGCTTTTATTGCTATTTTAAAATTCAAAATACTCGGGGAATTTTTAAACACTTTCGACGAAATCGTCGATGAGAAAAACGTTTATTGAAAAGAAAGTATATTTATCACGCTTTCTTAATGAAATGTTCTTGCCAAATTTTACCATCTAAACAAAATATATTTATAATTAAAAAATTAAACATTTATGGATTCATGTTTATATGAATCTTTTTTATCTGTATGATAAGAAGAGAATATATTTCTAACTTTTGGCTATTTAATTCTAAAACATTTTGTATGTTTATATCGGTATACGCGTTTGTATGTGTGTATATTCCCACATTACTTTCGTATCTTAAAAAATTGTACCGATTTGAGATAGACTCTGCATTTAATAATACATTATAGATATTCTACTTACGTGTTCACCTGATCCCAACACAGTTCTATTGTTTCGAAAATGGACTGGCATATCGCGCCTAACGACAACTGGTTCGACACGGAGAGTGGGAAAGACAATTTTTCTGTAACAATCAAAACTCGTAAACAATATAAAAAAAACGTTTGTAACAATAAAAATGCTTATAAAAAATTAATCAAAGCTTTCAACATAGCGATTAGTAATTATTACTGGTTGCAATAAAATGAATATAAAATTTGCCATATTATATTTATTTGAATCTTTCCCAGAACTTTTATGATTAAATATGCACGCAGAAATGCATGAATCTAACAATCCATTTATTATAATTTTGATAATTTCATATTAGAATTGATAATTTTAGTTTAATTAATAATATTAGATTTATGAATTTTTTCTAATTAAAACGTTTTATTGTTTTTAGAATTATTACATTATTATTTGTTTCTATAATAATAAAAATAGTAAATAGAAATATTAAGAGAATGATATAAGTTCTCTTAACTTGTCCTATATTTTGAATTTTATTTATAATCGAAGCATTAGAATTAATATATAGCCATATAAAATAATTTGTATATATAAATTAACGAAGTATAAAAATATTTGCCTTAAAAGTCTATATCTAATATAATGTATATAATATAAAATTTTACCTGCATACATAACAGATATATATCAACAGAGCTGCAATTGATATTATTATAACAATTATTACAATTGTAACACTTGTATCAAAATATGTATCGGAAATATTCAAATCTTCAAAGCTTTTGGTGGATAGTACTGTTTCTTCTTTTTTATCCGAACTATATATCCATTTATTATTGTCTTTGTATTCTTTTCCATTTATTGCAGTATGATTATCTCTGGTCGGTCCTAATATCATATGAACTAAAAAATATTTTTTTTTAAATATATAAATTTTTAATTAAAAAAGTGTTGAATAATTTCCATGTATATGTTATAATCTATTATTACCATGTATATGTCCATGTATATGTTATTATCTATTATAATTGTTAAGACATAAATTTCTTAAATTGATTTTGAATTAAAAAGAGAGATATTTATGGTAAAATGAGAAAAATGTGATCAAGGTGTTAAAGAAAACAAAATAATTTGGTTTTAATTAATAATGTATATCAACAAGTCTATATACAATATATAATAAATTTTTAGTATAAAGCAGATGGGTTTAAAAAGTATTTATAAATGGAATTAAAATATTTGAAATTTAATAACAATGTAAACTTTCTTTCTGAATAAATATGAAATTGTTCAAAAAATAAAATATTTATATTTGTTATTTAAACTTTGTAATGTTGTAGCGATTATAAAAGTTCTTTAAGGTCATAGCATAAAACTATCAACGTTTCTCTGTTGTTCTCGATAAGCCGGTACTCTTCTCTTGAGTTTCTTGTTAATAAAGGACTAAAGCCAAGTATAATTTTACAAACAAACATTACCAGAGACATTCTTAATTAATGACACAATTTTTGAGACTATCTGTATCTTGTATAGATAATTGATTTTATTTTCGAGCGTCTCTGTGTCGGCCAACCTTCAAAACTTCAAGCACGAATTTGACGATACAAAAAAGCATGGTGAACACATGCTGGTGATTTTATTTTATCAAAATTGAGGACATATCTTAAACTAATTGCATATACGAAACACCGAAGAAAGGCGTGGCACTTACGGCAAGATACTAAAATGCTAACAATTGGTTTTATGATATTAATTTCTCAATTTTACCAAATTGTGATCCAAGTCGCGTTGTCTCGTTGTTCGCTATATGTATATGACACCGCACGACAATGATAAACATGTGACTACTGAAGAATATAAACGATATCCTTGTAGAGTGCTGAAGGATCCGCCTGACTCTTATTGGCTGTCAATGTCGCACTAAATTATTTATTTTTGAACGCTCATGAGTCATTATATATACATATATTTTTTTTTATGGGCATCTCGGCATCATGGTAAAATTTTTTATTTTTCCGCCATTTGTAGATTTTTTAACCTGCACTTTTATTTGGCTGCACTTTAATCGCGAGTATCTTACATTGACATTTATATGCATAAAATTTAAAAAAATATAAAAAAGTCAAAACATCGATTTCTTGTACGTATTTGTATTAGGTACGTAATCTTTAAAAAATTATCTCTTTAAGAAATTGAAAAAAAATGGCGCCACGTACATGCATCAATTGCGAAAAATGTTGTATGTACTACAATAAAAAACCATCTTACAAAAATAATGATATCAGAAAATTATGTCAATTCAAAATAAACATATGTATATATGCACATGGTTATTGGAATGTATATAATTATTTATATTTCAAACGATTTCTTATAATAAATATTATATTGCAATATATTAGGTATATTTTTTTTTAAATATTGGATATAAATAAAAGAAATATATATATATATATATATATATATAAATTTTATTGCGTAAGTTTTCATTCAGTTGACTCATCTTTTTAATATTATTATTTTTGTAAGAAATTAAAACAGCTAATTTTTTGTATAACTGTTTTCAGTTAAAATATTTGTAAACAAAATAAACAATAATCTGATCGAGTAGCAATTAAGAGTTAGCGCGGGAAATAGTGCGCGTACAATATTTATGATTTATTACAATAAAACACTCATCAATTTACATTGAACGGACGTTTCGACCTCTTTTTTGGGTCTTTTTCAGCATGATATTTAAATTCTTTCAAAAAACAAAATCAGAACTATGTCATATTATTCGTAATTAAGTAAACTTAGCGCAATGGAAACTGGGAATTATTGGGAAAAATGCAATTGTTATGTTAATTGGAAACTAATCACTACATGTTAACGATAATAGACTCGCTGTGAAACAATACCAGGGTCACGCAGATATGTCATCCATGTTGTAAAAAACATATTATCCAGATGTTTGAGTGTTCTCCTCCATCCTCGGCAAGCCAGGAAGTATGAGAATTAATCTGGATTTATTAATGTGCCATATAAAATAATATGTATATATAAATTAACGAAGTATAAAAATATATGTATTAACATTAAAAGTTTAGTATCTAATATAATGTGTGTGTATATAATATAAAATTTACCCGTATAGATAACATTGTGTCAACACAAATGCAATTGGTATTACTACAGCAATTGTTACAAGTGTAACCGTTTGAACAGAGTATTTAACGACAGTATTCACAATCAGATCTTCAAAGCTTTTGGTAGGTAGTACTGTTTCTGTTGTTTTCTTGCCCAAATTATATATCCATTTAATATTGTCTTTGTATTTTTTTGTATTTATTGTAGTATATTCAACATCGGTCACTCTTGATATTTTATAAACTAAAAAATAATTTTTCTTAATATATATATTCTAATTCATAAACTGGGGACCTATTCTGTAACTTTTAACGATGTCGTTACATGTCATTGCGCAGCTAAAACGTATCGGAAAACAACTGCTATGATATCTAACGACATCAGTAAAGATTACAGAGCAGGCCCCCTGATCATTACATTTATCAGTTTATCAACATTATTTATTTTTTTATTTTACAAAAGAATATAATAAATATAATAATAAAATTTAATAATATTTAATAATAATCTTATAATAATAAAACCAAAGTTCGTTGTTACATTAATCATTTCCTAAAAATTATTTTTTAATAATTTAACTTTTATTAACAGTTAAAGTTTTGTAAGAAATTAAAACAACTATTTTGTACATTTTTCTTTATTAATATATTTTTATAAGTTTTTATTTTCAATTGGCGCAATTTTTTGATATTATTTTTGTAGAATAGCATTTTACAGTAATTGTTTTGTAATAGTTCGTGCATTAAAATTATAATTATAGCTTATAGTCTATTTTCTAAAAATTTAATCAATCACAATAAGTAATATAAATCATTAATAGCATGATTAATATATGTAATGCGATTTTTATTCTTTTAATTTTTTTCAGGAAAATGGTAAATTGCTATTTATGAATGTAGTTATTAAAATATACTATTGTTATGGTTCTATCGCATTGTGCGTAAATGATTACTTTTTTAGCTATTCTCTCTTTATGATTTTTATGATATCTTTAGTAAATCTGTAATTAGAAGTATAGTCAAACAAAGCTATTAGCGTGATCATAAAAATGTATATCTTTAGTTATCTTTTCTTACTTATTTTTAGTTATAAATAGTAAAGCTGACGTCAAGAGTATATGTGTATATATATATATATATATCACATTTATCATAATTGTGATTGTGATCATTACATAAAAATATTTATTTAGTTACTTGATATTTTACTACATTAATATTTTAAATTATTATTATTTATAGTAAAATGTTTACATAATCATTGCCAGAACTATGCATATAAGATTACTTTTATTAATATTATAGTAATAATAACTATAAAAATAAGAATATCATTCATAATTATTTTACTGTCCAATTATAGTCGCAAATATCAAATATTTTTCTCTCGATGTAATTTACGGTCCCGCATTGAGTAATAGCTAAATGGCTAATTCAGATATGATACCTGTAAGAAATCGGTCTCTGTTTTACGTTTTACAATAAAAATTAATTTTAAGTAATCGTCTTGTTCATCGATATTTGATTTCTCTACCAATTTTGACAATGAATCAATCTTCCCTTGACACAAAAATTCGGAAAATTTGATGCGCTTCTTTTTTGGGAAATTTATTTTGAATGAATATACAAATTGATATATTTATAATTGATATATTTATTTTGTTAATAATGTATATTGAGATTAATACAAAACATAAGATATTTACAATATGCATATTTATATATATCAACCACATATTATTAAATAGTGTCAATATTGTTAAATATAATGGTTGATAAAAAAAGCATAAAATATTTGAATTATTTCTAGTGATTAAATACAATCAAACATTTTCGTATCAAATATTGAATTTACAATCATTGTTAAGTTAAAAGATTTGTTGTTTGTTATTTGTTTATTTAGAATATTTTATAATATTATATAATAATAATATTATATGTAATATTATAAATTATATTATATGGCAATCTCTCACTTGATAATAACTAGTTAATAAATAGTAAATAATTTTATATTATAAAGTTATTTCGTAAATAACTTTATGATAGTCATAACAATCATAAAGCTATTTATATTTTTACTTTCTAAGAAAATTACGTGTGACACCAATATTATAAAAGTAATTAATTTTAAGTGGAATGACATTAACATAAACTTTAAATTTTTATCGAAAAAAATATTGAATAATTCACATGTTATAATCATATGTTATTATCTATTATTACTTATCAATTTGTTAAAATCAGTTTTTGCCATAATATATGTAATATTTGTACATATTAAACCAAAAACTAAAATTAGTTGAGAAGTAAATATCAGTATCGCTATTGCATACAGATCTCGACAAATAATAACAGAAGACATACAATCTAAATCTAAATCTCAGTTCAAGCTAAGTTTAGTAATTAAGAAGCTTGAAAGCAAATTATGCGTTAATATTGGTATAATTACAAAAAATTTGAAAGTGTGCATTATAATATTGGACGACTTTGCTGGCTTATGAAACAAATTCGAAAAGAGAGATATTACTTTTAACAAAACTATTGTAACTACAGCATTCTTATAAAAAAAAATGTTTGATTATAAATAATCCTACTAAAAAACGATTATAAATTTTATAAGAAATAATAAATTTAAAGTATTGTATTAAAAGTATTATATCATAAATATTTGAAGCTTTAGGAAGAAAAACGCGTGCAAACATAATTTTTAATTACATTATTATTTTGTAATTTATTAACAATCATCAACTTTCTAAAAAATTTCAATATTTTCAAAATCATTTTAATAGTAAATAAATAATTTTACTTTAAATATAGTGTGTGTATAGAAATATTTATGATGCGTCTCAAATTATATAATTTTCCTCAATTTTAACTTTAGAATCTCTATTGTAAATTATTTATAAATTCTTTTTTGTTGTATATATGTGTATATTAAATTAATATTTTCTAAGGAAATATATGTAACCGCATAAAATAAATCAGTTTTTGCTTAATGTAATAAAGTTTTTAAAATTTATAATTGTGTTAATACATAAATAAATTGTGTTAATATATAAATTTCTTAAAAATTGATTTTGAGTTAATATTATTTATGTTTGCAATAGTTTTTCTTTTTGTTGTTATATAATACATTTATTAAAAATTAATCATGCTTTACAACGCATTGTCTAGATAATTTGAAGTTGAGAATGGAGTTTCATATCGTACTTAAAAGACTTTATCAATATCACAGTTATGTGAATTGCGGCAATGCGTAAAACATCAAAGTGCAGTTTCCATTTCGTCGTCTGATAACTGCGAAATTAAAGATATTATTAATATGATATATGATTAATATGATTACTAATATGATAATAATTTCTATGTGTACATACGTATACAATCATTAACGATATAAGGGAACAAATTTAGAAACATATTTTACATACCGTAAAGATGAAAAAAATTATATTATCATATGGGTCCAGAAATGCTTCTTTTCCAAATTATAAGTATTTTTACGATTCGACAAAAATATTCCGTTAAAAAATTTGCTGGATATGACTTTCTTTCGCTCTTACCCACATTTATATTTATCGATTTATCTAGGTTTTTATTTACAAGGATATATCTCAAGTCATTTACTCGAATGCTTTTATTGCTCTTTTAAAATTTAGAATACTGTGGGAACTTTTTGATATTTTCGGCGATATCGTCGATAAGACATTGATGAAACAAATGTTTGTTAAAAAAAGGAATATGTTTATCACCTTCTTTTAACGAAATGTTCTTGCCAAGTTCTACCATAAACAAGTTTATAATTATATTGTTTATAATTTAAATTTTATTGCGTAAGTTTTTATTCAGTTGAACCATCTTTTTAATATTATTATTTTTGTGAGAAATTAAAACAATTATTTTGTACATTTTTGTTTATTAATATATTTTTATAAGTTTTTATTTTCAATTGGAGCAATTTTTTGATATCATTATTTTTGTAGAATAGCATTTTACAGTAATTGTTTTGTAATAGTTTGTGCATTAAAATTATGATTATATTTTAAAATCTATTTTGTAAAAATTTAATTAATCATAATAACTGATTAATAATATAATTAAAGATTTATAACACTATGTCAAAACAAAATAGTCTCTTTTTTCTTAAATTATAATTGTCGATAAGGCATTCAACCTCTAGAACGCGCCGCGCTCTGGGTCACTAATGCCAACCTTCGGGCCAAGAGAGAAAGCAGTTTTGATTAGAATCATGTACATCTATTCCGCTATTTTGCTGATTTTGCTGATTAGCCGTGTTGTAGAATACGTATAATCTCGTTATTTTTTAATGTGCACATATGTAATCTCGTGCACGAGGACACGCGATATCTCGTTGATTCTCGTTGCTATGGTATTTTGCATACTTTGACAACGGAAGCCTTACACAAAGCCGACTCGCGAAGTTTGTAAAATAGATGGAGAATTTTTTCAACCAATTTCATATAAACTTTATATGAGTGGAATATAATTCTGAATATACAGGGTGTCCGGAGTCAAGAAATTAAAGATATTATTAATATGATATATGATTAATATGATTACTAATATGATAATAATTTCTATGTGTACATACGTATACAATCATTAACGATATAAGGGAACAAATTTAGAAACATATTTTACATACCGTAAAGATGAAAAAAATTATATTATCATATGGGTCCAGAAATGCTTCTTTTCCAAATTATAAGTATTTTTACGATTCGACAAAAATATTCCGTTAAAAAATTTGCTGGATATGACTTTCTTTCGCTCTTACCCACATTTATATTTATCGATTTATCTAGGTTTTTATTTACAAGGATATATCTCAAGTCATTTACTCGAATGCTTTTATTGCTCTTTTAAAATTTAGAATACTGTGGGAACTTTTTGATATTTTCGGCGATATCGTCGATAAGACATTGATGAAACAAATGTTTGTTAAAAAAAGGAATATGTTTATCACCTTCTTTTAACGAAATGTTCTTGCCAAGTTCTACCATAAACAAGTTTATAATTATATTGTTTATAATTTAAAAATAAAACATTTATGGATTCACATTTATATGAATTTTGTTTATCTGTATGATAAGTAAAGAATATATTTCTAATTTTTGACCGTTTATTTTTGAAACATTTTGTATGTTTATATCGGCATTTGCGTTTGTATGTGTATGTATACTTACATTATCTTGGATATCAAAAATTATATCAATTTGAGATAGACTCTGCATTTAATAATATATTGTAGATATTTTACTTACGTGTTCACCCGATCTGAACACAATTCTATTGTTTTGATAATGGACATTGCGCCTATCAGGAGCTGGATCGACACGGCGAAGGAAATTGACCATTTTTCTGTAACAACCAAAACTTGTAAACAATTTAAAAGGAACGTTTCTAATAATAAAAAAGGTTATAAAAAATTAATTAAAACTTTTCATATAGCGATTTGTAATTATTATTGGTTGCAATAAAATTAATATAAAAATCGCCATATTATATTTATTTGAATCTTTCCCAAAATTTTTATAATAAAACTGCATTACGTTTGAAAAATTCAAATATTGATGTTAATATCATATAATATTTAATATCATATAATAGTTAATGTCATATAATAGTTATGTTGATTTTAATATCATTGAAAAAGAGGATTTGTTTTTATTAATATTGTGAATTTAAATTAAAATAACTTTTTTTTATATTGCATTAATAAATGCATATATGTGTTGTACGCATATATACACAAACACACATACACATTACACGATCGCACATACATATGTATGCACGCAGAGATGCACGAATCTAATAATTCATTTGTTATGGCTTGGATAATTTTGTATTAGAAATTACAATTTCAGCTTAATTAATAATATTAGATTTTTCTAATTCAAAGATTTTACTGTTTTTACAATTATTATCATTATTATTTGTTTCTCCAGTAATAAAAATAGTAAATAGAAATATTTAGATAGTGATACGAATTCTCTTAACTTATCCTGTATTTTGTGTGTATTATTTATAATCAAAGCATTAGAGTTGGTTAAGTTTTAGCTATATATTAATACACCGCATTAGCCTGTCGCAAAAAGGTATAGTGCATCTGTAGTACAGCCGGGAATATTTTTTTCGTCGGGACACGTGACATTAGACGTTGCGTAACGTGAAGCTCTTTTCATTCATTGTCATATAACTTAAACATTTTTTAACTAAAAAATAGCATATTCTATATACACGTACAATATCTCTCTCGTAATCGAGAGAAAAGTTGCAGCAAGAGTTTTGATATTTAGAGGAATTTGTTTTGTCTTTGCAGTTTCCCGTATATAAACTGTTTTTCTATTACATATTAATTTCACAATTTTTTTCATTTAATAAAAAAAATGTTGATACTTATCAGCCACACATAAAGAAATTTGATTTCACTGAGAAAATCGAGGAAATTGGTTCGTTCGCTGAATTCTCGCTGTCTAGTTCGATCGGCGATTCTAGTCGAGAGAGGAGGCAGGGAAGATGCGGAAGAGCATGAGAAGGAAATATTTGTAACACGGAACAGTGGGTTTGTCTCCTCGGTGAATAGTGCCGACACGTTATTATGGAGCACGCGCGTGTATACGGCGGCACGTACATACATAAAACTAGCGTTTATCTTGTTTATGCTTGGCCTAAACCGTACGTGAAAATGAAAGCTAACATTGAGAATTCCAATTATGTTATTTAATTCTCGGCGTATATGAGCGGTTTTCAACGCATTGCGTTTGCAATTCAGAAATGTTATTTATAGAAGGATTAGTTGTAGTAGTTATAGTGTTAGCATCAGTCTTGAGAAGCTTTTTTTTCGTATATATAAATTAATTAAATATAAAAATATATGCGCATTAATATTAAAAATATCTGATATAATCTGTATAATATAAACATATTTACTTGTAGACACAACAGTACAGTAACACTGATATTATTGTTATCATTAAAAGCAACGCAATCTTTAAGTCAATGTATATATCGGGAGTATTCAAATCTTCAGAGTTATTTGTGGGTGATATTGTTTCTTTTATTTCATCATCCAAGTTATATACCCATTTTTTGGTGCCTTTGTTTTTTTTTTCATTTATTGCAGTATGTTTATCACTGGTCGGTCCTAATATCATATAAACTAAAAAATAATTTTTTTCTAAATATATGTTTTAATTCGTAAACTGATAACTGCGTTTATCAGTTTATCAACTTTACTTTTTAGATGATTTTGAATGAGACGGAGAGAATATCGGTAACTAGAATTTAGTAGTAAAACGTGATGCTGCAATTGTGACTTTTGATTACAATTGACAAGAAAGTAAGTAAATGTGACTGCGGGAAATCGGCACATGAATTTCCCACGTACAAAGTATATTTTCACAGAGTTAAAATTTATGAAACGTTTATGAAATTGAAGATCATACGCGACAAACTCGCATTCGCCTCGCTTTCTATTATCGAAAGGCGCAAAAAACGTCGCATTTATACACCACATTTGTCTTTCTAAATATCTCAGTACGCAAATTTTTCAAATGTGGTTTATATATTAAAATGAATATACGAATTGACATATTTATAATGTATATTGATTAATACAAAACATAAGATATTTACAATATGCATATTTATCCGAACTACATATTAAATAGTGTCAATATTGCTGTATTATTAAATATAACTATATTATTAAATACAATATTATACTGTATTATTAAATACAATATTATAAATTGTAATATTATAATATTATTAAATATTTATAATATTATAATATTTATAATATT